ACTATGATATCCAAAAAGAAAAAGGCTTGAAACATAAATAAATATGGGCCTATTTAACCAATATGTATCTAGTCATATCCCACCTACAAACTTTTTAGGGGTACTGCATATAATGTCCAAGCTACATGGATGTACAACCAATTAAAACAATGAGAAAGTGCATTCGAGTTTTGCTGCAATCCATTTTGATCAATTTCACACCCTTGCTTCATAAGTATAGTAGCATAGTAAATAAATCCAGTTAAATCACCGACCCTTTACTCAATCCAGTTGAATCAATCCATACAATTTGATTGATATAAAATAGACCCTTTAATTGGCTACTTTTTAAATCACTAGCCCCATCAATTGGCTACCGACCTTGCTTCCTTTAATTAATTAAATTATGATACTTTTGGTGTCTATTCCTCTTACGTGTTACTTCTTTATTCCATGCATTCTTGCTGATCTCTACTAACTTGTCACGCTTACATACCTTAACTATTATTTGTCCACGTCGTATTAACTATGACAATTTGTTGCAGTTCATTTACTTTGCATTACTTCGGTTACAACACAGGGCATTATACTAACTACTAACTACTGTTTCATATTTACAAGATCATGAAATACAATTTCAATGCCATGTTGATTATTCTATTTCTTACAGTTTACCTTCCTAAATTCCCCCTAAATCATAAGCATCCCACCTATTAAATGATTACATACCTTTGAATTCCCATCCTTCATAAATATCCATTTGTATTTTTCGTTACCTAAATAACTGCCTATGTTGTAGTTATTATTTCTCACGAATATTATCGAAATATACGTATTGTCATTTTTCGCTCTCCGTAATATTCCATTCCATGTATATATCATTTCTAAGACACTTTCATGCACATTACTACAAACACATAAACCAATTTTTTCCCACATTTACAACCACCAATTGCATACCATTGTCACATTGCATTTGTGGAAACAAGTGCTTTCATCTTCAAATTCGTTCTATCCCTTCTGATTTGCTCTCATTCAATTCAATTCTTTCGCTTCTTTGCACCTCCCCCGTCCCTATCCATATCCTATGGTTTTTTTTTAACAAATTGCATTGCAATATACAATGCCTATGGGGTCTTTATCGGTTTTATTTCTTGGCCTATTGGAATGGGATACCAAGCATTTGCTTCCCCTTTCCCTTCTGGTTGATAGCATTATTAACACAATTTTAATGCCTCTAATAATGTCTTGAACTACCATACCGTTTCAAAGATCTCCTCTTTGTAGTCACATTTTATAAGGGTCCATTTTGTAGCTCCTAAGTATTAAATCCCTATTCCTTGGACTGACCCTTGCTTTTGGAACATTCAATACATGTCTTGTCCTATTGATTTATGCTTTTTTAAAAAATATTTATTTAAACATGGGCCCCACAATTTCAAGTAACCTATACTTACCCACCAGCCCACCGGCAACTTCTATCATCAAGTTTCTATTATTATTTTTTTTGTCAAAAAGATAACATTTGTATTGATTTAAACTTGATAATACAAGAATACTTTACAAAAGGAGCTAATTGCCCTCACAATCTATTCTTGCTAGATCTTTAATCCAACCAGGGAAACATGATTCCCAATATACATCATTAACTAGCTTCAAGGCAAACTTTGCTAGCCTATGACACACTTCATTTCCTTCCCTATGTATAAAAGAAAAGTTGCATTGATCAAAAAACTCTCTCAGCTTTTGTATGCCCTCCAGTATCACAGCATAGTTGCAGTTGTTGCATGAGACTATTAGGATGCAGTCTATCACATTCTTGCAATCTGATTGTATTTCGATTCTTCTCCAGCCTGCTGCCTTTCCCAATTGCATTGTTGCTCTAATTGTTGTAGCTTCCTCAAGTTCTGGTTCCCCCAACTTCTCCTCCATTATGGCCCATGTGACAGCCCCACCGTCCCCTAAGGCGAACCAAAGGGTTCGGCAGACCGCCTGCCCAATTCTCGCCAGGACTCGATCACTCTATTCAGGACAAAACCTCGAGGAAAAATAAAACAAAACCAATTCCCAAACTTGAAATGCTTACTTACATTCATTTCTACCTCAAAAGTAATACAATCCCAAATGTACAAAAGTTTTAGGTTCCCAATACTTCCAACCCTAACCAAGCACTAGAGCGAGTACAATTGCAAAAGATAACTTCAAAAGGACTAGGCGATGCTATTCTATACAAGTCTCTCGCCCTTGCTCGCATCCCCTGTAAGGAAAACAAAACTAACGGAATAAGCCAAAAGCCCAGTGAGGTCCCAGACACATAAACAAACAATGAGTTCAATACATTAACCATAGATAGCAAGTAATTCCAGAAACATGACAATATAAAGCAAGAATAACATTCATTAAAAGGATACGTGCTCACATGGAGCCATTCATTCATTCATTCATTCTCCTATCATTTCCTTATTCCTTCATTCGTTTGAAAATGCATTTTGATAAGTAACACCCTTCATTTACATTGACATTCGTTCATTCATTTCATTTCACCCTCTCCTGGACGTTGGCCAGGCTCCACCAGACTACAAGGTAATACTCGAGTATATCAAACGTTCACCCAGGGTCACCAAATCACCCGACCGAGTCCGCTTCTGACTCGAGTCGACCGGCAACGAAGGGCAAGGGCTCAGTTCAGCCAAACGGCTTACATTCATGCGCAACTAGCATTTAATTATTTAATCATTGAAAATTTCACATTCATTTAGGTCGAGTGCGATAAAGTACACACTCGCCTAGAAAACTCATTTTAAACAATCATTGAAAACATTTAACCTGTTATCATTCATTCATAACAAGTCATATAATCAAGAACAAGCCACATATTTAATAAAAATATAACAAACAAGGAACACTCACCTATATACGCAAAATAATGTCCAAAATATCCCTCCGGATAATAACCTCAGTCACCGATGAAACATAAGATTAAGCAAGAGAGAATATTACAGGGCATCTAGCAAAACAATTAGGTGAAATCGAAGAAAACCGATCAACAATGAGTAAAACGCATAAAGATGACTTAAAAGTGAAAATAGGCATTTGGATCCGAGGACGGGAATAACTAAGGATTTCACAAATCAAAAACAAAACAAAACTAAAAAGGGTTGTAGAATATCCCAACGGAAAACACTTGGACCGAAGACAAATCAGAATCTGACTAGATTAGTGAAAGAAATATGTTTCCGAACTGTTTATGTGGCTCAAAATCAACATATACTCAAGGAGATATTATATACCAAATGTCTTGATGAAAATCATGTGAAAAGAGTACAAAATACTTTAATTTCACATTAAAACCTCACTTGTAAACACAATGGATTCCCATAGCCGAGAAAACCCTAACTACTCCTCTGTATTTTGGCAAGAAATAATAAACATTTGAAGTGTCAAACTGAAGAGGTATTGTGTTTTAAAATGGTAAAACGGTCATGATATTCACCAAGCGGAAATATATAAGTTCAAATAGAAATGTACTTCTCGAACACTCGTCGAGAGAACCGAAGTAGGTCTCAACGAAGTACGTCCAACTTGACACAAAAATCACATTTCCAAAACCACTTTAACTCACTCAAATTACAAGAAAACAAACGGACAGCATCTCCCCTTACTTTCTTTACTTTCCATCCTACAATCAAACACCAACTCACATTCCAAAACAACCACAATTTCACATACAAAGCGTAGGCGATAAAATACACCTTTCGGCATAACAACCACAACTGAAGTTACACTTATCGGATTGAAACGAATCTTATGGAGTTTCAAAGCCAAGACATATACCTACATTTCTTATGAAGACCTCCAAAGCCAAATCATGCATTTTCAGGGTCAAAAATGAAAATCTCCAGGAAAACAGAAAGCTGTCCGCGGAACAGGGCTCATGGGCAATCAAGGGTATTTCGGTCATTTCACATGTTACAGTGATCGGATTGAGCTGAAATTTTACAGGTAGCTAACTAACGTAATTACCAACAACTTTCATGTTTTGGAAAAAGGCTAATTCGGCTTCCTTCAAGGACGAAAATGCAGTGCAAAATCAGGGCAGATTAATAACCCTAAGCTGGAATTTCCGCACAAAGTCTGAAATTTTTCGCAAACAACTACAACTAACACACAAATGCTTTATTTCTCACCATATCAAGCCATCATTCATGGCCAACCAATAATTATCATATAAAAATAGAAAAATTCCCAAAAAAAACAGAAATTTATTTAACTCTACCTCAAACCATAAAATCTTCCATACAATAACATATTTAACCACCACAAACCACTAATTTGACATTAGCATGAACAAAGAGGAAGTTTGTAAGCAAAGTACCTTAACACCTAAAGAAATATGATAACTTAGGGTTTCCTTTCACAAATCCCTCCACTAGAAGCTTTAATCCTTCTTATCTAGCAACTTTGATGGTGTATTTTGCAACTTACTTGGTTAGAACTCAAGATTGAAGCAAATTGAAGTTGGCAAATGAAGTTTTCTCCCTTGGTTTTTCTCTTCAAGAAGCTCGGCCAAGAAGGTAAAGAATGAAGCAAAAATTGGTCAAAATTAATGTTTTAGTAAAGGTAAAGAAAGTTAGGCAAGTCCAACTTCCAATCGTATCGCGACACTTGGCACTTTTAATGGTTTAAGCTTATTTTCTTTCTTCCAATGGTTAATCTATCTAGCTAACCTCTAATTATCTCCTAGCACCTTCTCAAAATAATATCTTTGAATAAAAATTCAATTAATCGCCAAAAGTTTATCGTACCAAGCGCACTAGCGGGTCCCACGTCTAGAATGCACTTCAAATTAACGTACACTAACTTATACTAGAAAAAATGATTTTAAAACTGTACTTGCTTATAAAAATGTATAGAAAATTTAATATTTCCAAGGAAAGTATAAAATGTAGGCAAAGAAATAAAATAATGCTGAGCAAATGTGAAAATTTTTGGGTTCTCACAGCCCAAACTTTCAGCACCTCTCATTTCCAGTTCCTAGCCACAATTCCTTTACCCGTTCTGATTGACTGTGCTAAGATTGCAGCATCAGTGTTTATCTTGTACACACCTTTCATTGGAGGTTTCCATCGTCTATCATACTGATCTGGAGTCGCTTCATCAATGCTAGCTCTACTTTCTAGTTCCACAGCTTCTTTGAATTCCATCCATTCTCGTTGAGCTTTCCTTACCACTGAAATTTCCTCCCCTTTTACGTTATTGAAAGCAATCTGGTTCCTTGCCTTCCATATTTGCCAGGGGAGATTAATTGTTAATGTTATATGCTCCTTGCCAATGACTCTTTGAGTTGCTTCTAAGAGACCTTCCCACCATCTCCAAAAGCAAGCCTGCAGATCTATTAATCCATCCCAGTTGATTGGACTGAGTTTCCAGATCTTCTTTGCATATTCACAATCAAAGAACAGATGCTCAATAGTTTCAATCCCATTCCCACAGCTTTTGCATATGTTGTTCCCCTTCCCTGTTCTGCCATGCACCAAGTTATTGATTGGAAGACAGTTGTGTAGACATCTCCAAATAAAATGTTTCAGTTTGTGCTTGACTTTTGTTCCCCACACTTTTTTCCACATACTTTCCTTCCTGTTATGGCTACTTGTCTTCCCCTTGAGCTGCACTATTTTAGTTGCCTGTGCCTTCATTTCCTTTGCTAGAGTATACCCTGACCTCACTGTATATTCTCCATTCTTTGAGTGATGCCAGATGAGCCTGTCTCTCCTTTGGTATATACTGAGTGGTATTCTTGCAATCATTTGGGCCGTCTCTCTGCTGAAAATTTGATTTATTAGCTCCTTATCCTACTGTTCTTGTTTAATCAGGTCTTTGACATATTGGATGCTTCCCAATGCTGCTCTATCTTTTTCCACTCTACCATCTCTTGAACCTGGTATCCATCTGTCTTGCCACACCTTGATGGTACTTCCATCCCCAACTAGTTTTCTTATTCCATTTATCAATAGGAATCTGGCACTCAGAAGACTCTTCCATAGGTATGATGCTGAAGTAGGGGCTTGCCTCATCCAGTCCAATTCTCTTTTCATATATTTAGCTCTCATAACTCTACTAACAAGCCTGTTAGGCATAACAATGATTCTCCAGAGTTGTTTTGCTAGCAAAGCTGTGTTGAACATTTCTAGATCTCGAAAGCCTAAACCTCCCTTTCCTTTAACCTCAGTAAGTGCATTCCAATTGGTCCAATGTATTTTCCTTTGATTCTCATCTGCTCCCCACCAAAACCATGCCATTTGTTTACTAATGTCTCTACACATTCCTTTTGGGATTCTAAAACGCGACATTGTGTAATTTGGGAGTGCCATTATCACTGATTTCAGCAATACTTGTGACGCCCCGAAAGAATGAGTGTGAGAACCCGAAAATTTTTATATATTTTGTAGACATTATTTTGTTTCCTTGTCTATAATTTTATACATTTCTTCAATATATTAATTTTCTATACATTTTTATAAGGGAATATAGTTTTCAAATCATTTCCTTGATACAAGTTAGTCCACGTTAAGTTTGAAGTGTATTATGGACGTGGGACCCGCTAGTGCGGTAAATGCGATATATTTTTAACAACTTGTTGGAGTTTTGTATTAAGTGATATTATTTTACAAGGTGCTAGGAGATAATTAGAGGTTAGCTAGATAGATTAACCATTGGAAGAAAGAAGATAAGCTTGAACCATTTAAAGTGCCACGTGTCGCAACACGATTGGGTGTTGGACTTGCCTAACTTTCTTTACCTTTACTAAAAACCAATTTTGACCCAATTTTCTTCTATTTTTCTTTGTCTTGGTCGGCCTTCTTAAGGAGCAAAACAAGAGAGGAAAGTTCTTCACTTTCTAGCTTCATTTCTTGCTCAAATCTTGTGTTTTAGCCAACCAAATCACAAACCACACCATACATGTGGTCATTAAGGAAGCTTGAAGGTTTTGGTGGAGTTATTTTGGAGGAGGAAGAACTAAACTACCATCTTTCTTGAAGTGTTAAGGTACCTTGCTTGAAAACTTTCTCTTTGTTCATGCTAATGTCAAATTAGCAGCTCTAGTGGCTAAATATGTTGATTTGTGGTAGGTTTTATGGTTGAAAGTGAAGTTTTGATGATTTTTTATTTATTAGTGTTTTTTCTGTTTTTATATCATAATTATTGTTTAGTCATGGATTGATGGCCTGTTATAGTGTAAAATGGAGATTGGTATATGTTGGATATGATTGGTTGCGGAAAATTTCAGAGTTTATGCGGAATTTCCAGTTTAGGGTTTCATCCTACCCTGTTCTGCCCGAACCTGTTAGGTCATGATTGAGGCCGAATCAGCCTTTGCCCAAAACATGAAAGTTGTTGGTAATTGAGTTATATAGCTATCTATAAAATTTCATCTCAATCGGAGCACTATAACATGTGAAATAACCGAAATACCCTTGACTGTTCATGAGCCCTGTTTCACGCCCAGATTTCTGTTTTCGTGGAGTTTTCCATTTTTGACTCTAAAAATGCATGATTTGGCTTTGGAGGTCTTCATAAGAAATGTAGGGTTATGTCTTGGCTTTGAAACACCATAAGATTTGTTTCAATCCGATAAGCGTAGCTTCGGTTGTCATCGATACATTAAGGGACGTCAAACCTGCGATTTAGCTTTTGTCCTTAAAACTTGATTTCCAGTTGCATTCCTAGACTTGCTTTGTATTTGGATGAACTTGAGCCTAGTTGAACGGCTATTGTATTGAGATTTATTATGTGTTGGATTGGACTGAGTTGAGGAAAAACAATGAAACCATAAATGACTGGAATATAGCAAAATACAGAGGGCATGCTGCCCAAAATTTTAGGGTTACGTTGTTTGTAACCCTAGGACCAACTATTATCTTTTTACTCAAAAGTCATATTTTTATTCTTTTGTATTAGTACTTAACCTGGAAAGGCGTACGACATGTAGTCGAGCCTCATTTACGCATTCCATTTACTGGGTTTGTGGATGTGCGAGCTATAATTGTTTTATCTTGATTATTTTAGGATTTCTCGGCGATTAAAGCCACTTTGGGTAAAAAAAAACTTTTGAAGTATCTGTACTGGAACTGGTGAGTGATCCCTCAACTACTTCCAAAGTTACTTTTGAACTAATTTTTGCTAATTCTTGCACTGGTTACTCAATTGCTTGCATTGGTTGTTTGATTGCATATCATTTGTGTATGTGTGTGTGCCATAACATAATTTGGCTCCAATGAGTTCTTGGGAAGATCTTGTGCTTAGAACCAACGTCTCCACTACTGTTTACACATTCTTTGGAGCACGATGGCTCCTTATTTCTGTTTATCTGTTACCTGATCTAAATGAGCGTTGGATATTTAAGTACAAGAACTTCACTGGCTCACACGAGCAATAAATGTACATTTGATTACTGCATCATGACATCATCTAACTGCTTTATTGTGAAATATACTTGATTGTTGTTTTTACTGGTTACTCGCTGAGCTTCTAGCTCACCCCCAAATGTTTTCTTCTCCCCACAGGGATCGAGACAAAGGAAGCACGTGTAATAAGCTGTTAAGCATGTATATTTCGCTTTTGATTCACTTGTGGTTTATATATTCGTGGAACTTGGGGAAAAATGTTATTTCATTTAGTATTGAGATTGTACCATAGGTTATTGGATGTGATGTTTCACCTTGTGTAATTTTGGGCCTGTATAAATATTTGGAATTGAATTGGTTGTATATATACGCTCCACGCTTAGAATTAGTTTCCGTTTCGCTTATGATATGTAGTTTGTGGAGAATTTGATGTATATTTGAGATGTATCTTGTATTTGAATTGAGGATTGGAGTAAGTGAGTGAGTCCCGACGAGAGTTGGGCAGGCGGTCCGCCGAACCCTTTGGTTCGCCTTAGGGGGAGGTGGGGCCGTCACAATACTTCCTTTCTAGCAAGGCTCAATAGATTTCTTTTCTAGCCTTGTAGTCTCTGTGTTACACTTGCTTTTACTTCCCCAAACACCTTATTCTTTGTTCTCCCTATCACCATTGGAAGGCCAAGATACTTCCCACTGAATGCTTCTCTTAGATTTCCAAGTATACTGCATACTTCCTGTCTGGTGTCCAAGTTAGTGTTCCTGCTATAGTAGATAGCAGACTTTTCAAAGTTGATTAGCTGTCCAGATGCTCTTGCATATTTGTTCAGCAGCTTTTTAACCTTCCACGCTTCTTGGTTTGTGGCCTTGCAGCACAGCAAGGCATCATCTGCAAAAAAAAGATGTGTAATGGGAGGGCACTTTCTTCCCACTTGGACTCCTGTCCACAACTTACTAGCAGCAGCTTTGTTTATCAAGTTTGAGAATGCCTCCGCAACCAACAAAAATAGGTAGGGGGATAACGGGTCTCCCTGTCTTATACCCCGCTTAGGTTGGACATATCCTACTTTTTCTCCATTAAGATTAAAAGAATAGGATATAGTAGAGAGGCAATTCATAATCCATCTAACCCAAATGGGGCAAAATCCCACTTTTAGCATTATTCTTCCCAAAAATTGCCATTCCACTCTGTCATAAGCTTTGGACATGTCAAGCTTGATAGCCATAAAACCTATTCTACCTGTTCTTTTATGTTTTAGGAAATGCATAACCTCATGAGCTAGGAAAACATTGTCTAGAATCTGTCTGCCTGGAACAAAGGCAGATTGAGCTTCAGTAATGCACTTAGACAGGAACTTTTTCAGCCTATTTGCCAGGATTTTGGAAACAATTTTAAAGAGGACATTACACAGAATGATTGGCCTGTAGTGGTTAATATTAGTGGGAGCAGACACTTTTGGGATTAGAGTTATCAGGGTTTCATTGACTGCCTTCAGCATATACCCACTATGAAAAAAAGTCTTTATAGCATTTACTATATCCAAATTTATGATATGCCAATATTTCTGGAAAAAAAGAGGTGACATACCATTAGGACCTGGAGCTTTATTTGGATGCGTAGAAAATACAGCAGCTTTGACTTCCTTTTCCTCCACAGGTTTCATCAAATTTTCATTCATCTGCTGAGAGATTGTATGGGGGACACCATCGAAAACCTCATCAATGTTATCAAGTTGTGATGTGTTGAAGATGTTGCTGTAGTGATTACCAATCTCTTCCACCAATTCTTCCTTTGTTTCACACCAGCTTCCATTCTCTCTTTGCAAACCTGAAATCCTATTCTGTCTTCTTATTCCCACGGAGGCATGAAAGAAGGCAGTGTTTTTATCACCATGCATTAGCCATTTGCTTCGTGCCTTTTGGGACCAGTAGATTTCCTCATCCCTATATGCCTGGCCCAATTTGCATTTCAGTGCATCTAGAATGTCCCTGCTTTGACCAGCATCAGTCTGCTTGGCTTCTTCGATTTGTTTTTTCAAACTTTGTATTACCTCTCCTGAGTTGTTCCTTTTCTTTCTATTCCATTCCATCAATGCCAATCTGCATGCTTTGATCTTTCTTGTCACTTTAAAAAACCTAGATCCTTGCTGGTGTTCCTTCCAAGCATTCGAAATCACAGTATTAGTTTCCTCCTCATAGGTCCACCTCTGGTCAAAGTGAAATCTCCTCTTGTATTTCTTCTTAGCAGGTTCAGTATCCATTAGAACAATACAATGATCGGATGCTTCCTTATGCACATGTGTACACCTTGCATCCTTGAACTGTTGGATCCATCCTTGATTTGCTAGGCATCGATCTAGTCTTTGCTGAATCAGTCCACCTCCCTCCCATTGGTTAGACCAAGTCCATGGCACTCCTTCAAACCCAAGGTCTATCAGTGCATTGCTTTCTATGAACTCTCTAAAATCTTTGAAACTGCTATCAGGTCTACTCCTCCCACCCCATTTCTCCTCATTTGACAGTATATCATTTAAATCTCCAGCCATCATCCACATTTCTCCCCACTTTCCTTTTTCTTGGTTGATAATTCTCCACTGTTCCCTCCTTATTTTGTCATTAGTGCTTCCATACACACCAATGAACCACCAACTGATCTGTTTCTCCTTATCCACAATCTTAGCTTCAATATAAAAATCCCTACTATTGACATACACCACATCCAACTCACTATTCCACATTAACGTTAGACCCCCGGCCTTGCCCAAAGCATCAATAACAAAGCATTTCTCATAGTTTATTCTTTTACTAAACTTTTCCATGACCTTTTTTTGATTTTTGGTTTCACAGAGAAAAATTAAATTAGGAGAGTGGAGGTTGATTACCTCCTTCAGCTGGGGAACTGCCAAGAGGCCTCCTGCACCTCGGCAGTTCCACACCGCTACCTTCATTTAGACTGTGGAGGCATTAAGGGAATAGCCTCCAATTTCCCCGTCTGGTCACAAGTGTGCACTTCTACCCTCAGTATCTTGTTTTTTTCTTGGTCCTGGCCAGGCTCTAGCATTTCAACATCTTCATTCCACTCACTGGTTTTCCTTTTCCCCCCTGCATTTTAACCACAGGTGTGTTGTTTATACTTCCCAATAGTGCTCTTGTCCTTCTTGTGAACTTTCTTTGTTTTGGCTCATGTCCACCCTTGATCACTTGCTCCTGCATCCCCATGTTTTCCTTATTTCCTACATTCTCCATCATTTTCTGATTTCCTACTCTTTCCTTCTTTCCCTCCAGAGATGCTGTTACATCCATGACTGTTACATCCATGACTATCTCCTCAGTTCTTTCCAACCCTTTCCCTTCATGTTGCCCCTGTGATTCTGGATCTATTTTAAATTTATCCCCTACCCCTTCTTGTTTTTCACTGTCCTTTCTGGTTTCCATTTGGCCCTCTTTATACTTCTTCCCTTCCTTTTCCGTTGCTTTTGTATCTGCACTTCGTACTCCACAGGTATCAACAGGTTCAGGTTTCCCTCTACCCAATGTTGGTATAACAGCAACTTGATTCCCTTCCTTACTATTTTCCTCAGTGTCATTGTTTCCTTCCTTTGCTCTTGTCTCCTTATTTCCTCGGATCAGTTGTGTTCCACTCACATGAATTCTCTCCCTAGGCTCCATTGTCCTGGTCCTCAGAGGTGAAGCCATAATATTCCCAGCCTTCATCCAAGCTCCATATTGGTCTTCTCTTAAGTTGTACTGATTTAGTCCTTCATTATTACAGTTCTTATCACCATGACCAATAATTCCACACCTGTAGCAAAAATCCGGACACTTTTCATACTTAAATTCAATCCATTACTGTACCCCATTCAACTTGACCCTTGTTCCTCTTGCCAATGGTTTTGCTATGTCTATTTCAGCCAAAATTTTCATATGTCTTCTTGCTTTTCCCCCACTGGAAAGGATAATGACTTCCCTTACATATTTGAAGACATCTCCTATCTTAAAACCCACAGCCTTACTCATCCAGTGGATCGGCAAGTTCCAGATTTGGACCCACAGGTATGCTCTATTAAACACTTCCATCTTCCTCTCTATCCCAGCTTCCCATTTCTTGATAACCAGTAATTGGTTGTCTATGACCCATGGACCACCATAAAGAGCTTTTTCCATTTCTTGTTCAGATTCAAAATGGAACCAAAAAAGATTGGCTTTAAGTTCCGTGACCTTCAAATTCTTTGGATAACCCCACACATGAGCTGTGAAATTCTTAATCCCTGTGAAATTTGTGACCTTCTCCCCTATAACTTTTCCCATCAGACTTAGTTGGCACTCCTCTACACTTTGTTGGATATCCTCGAAGCTCATATCAACTCCTTCCTCTTCCTCTGGGTTCAGGTCAAATCTTTTGAAGGCAAAAGTGAGATCGTCCGCCATTGCTGAGCTCTTTTAGGTGTCCCCACACCAATTTCCAGTAATGTTTGAAAATGAAATCCAACCTATGGATTACATAGTCAAAAATCGTAGATTTTCAGTTAACAACTAGAGATAACAGTTAGAAGGAAAAAGAAATAAAATAGCTAAAGAAAGTGATGAGAAACCTATTGCATGAGAAAGAAAAGGCATAAGAGAGTACTATCAGCATAACCCTAAAAAACCGAGGTAGACTTAGTATTAATGCTATCAAGCCATAAAAGCCCAAGCTTGCTGTCCGACCGAGCGAGTTTTGGAGTTGCCCTATAAATGACTCTCCTTTATTGCAGCTCAAATGTTTCCTCGCAATGCTTTCGACACTACCTATGTGTTCAGAGATTATTTAATGTCAAAAATGGATCTAATTTGTGATCCCTCTTAACTATGGTGCCTCACTATTGGATCGGTGAAAGTATGAGAATTGGTGTAGCGGGAACTTTGGAGCAGTTTGGAGGTTGGTTCAGTTTTAAAAATTTTTTAAAAGCTCCTACCTTGAGGAGAGAAAGCTCTTTGTTCTAGAGAGAGAAGCTCCCAAAGAGAGAGATTTTCTATTCAAACTCTTCTCAATTTCAATATTTTCCTATGTGTCGTCTTATCATTGATTAGTCTTAACTTTACCTCAAAAATGTTAGAAACTTCTTAACCATTTTGTAGAACTTACCTAGTTACCTTCTTTTTAAGCGTTCAATTTTTTCATGTGGTAGAGGATTTTATTGGTTGTTGAAGAATGATGGAGGAGGGGAGGGGGAGGGGAGGTGATGAATGATGTGATGGGTTGCAGGGAGAGGCTTAAGTGTAATTTGACTAATTTGACCATTCATCCATGTTGAAGGGAGACTAGTGAGTGAGCACGGAGCAGGAGATTGTGATTTGAGATGCAACGATGGATTGCTAGGCCTATCAATCGGGTCATATTAGCTAGCGCACTTTCATAAATTCAGATTCAATTCATTTAATTTGTAACACTTTCAAACTTTGGATTACGAGTTTCGAATTAATAAATGCAATCATCATATTCAACTCATAAATTATTCGGGTTTTGAGCCTTATAGGGGATTAGTCCAAACTCACTAACTACTCCTCAATTTTTTTAATATAATTACTATAACTATTGAGTTATAAAACTAATTTAACATTCAAAGGATTACAACATTAGAACTAAACATAAACAAGTAATAGTTTTTAAAAAGTATATAAACCAAGAATTTTTCAACAATATTTATATTTAATTCATTCAAAGTACATAAAAATAGTAATAAAATATGTGGTTATAAACCAATACATCTTTAAAGATTGAAACATCTTCATAACTTTGTAACTTGAATCCAAACATGCTTGATGATTTGTGTTTCTAGATAAAAAAAAATCAACCAATATTATGCCAATACAAAATTTTACTCAACAAATAAGAAAAGTTAGAATTTCAATTATGCATTACCAATATTGGCTCTTAAGAAAGTTAGTAGAGGAGTCTTCATATATAATTTTGTATTTTGTAATTTGTATATATTTAGTATTTAGTAATAACATATTTAGATACATAATTATATATAATATCAAAATATAAATATTATATATAGGTAATTTAAGCATTGGGTCTATATCGGGTTTGAGTCTAATGAGAGTTTAGCTCGGCTCTTATTTAACTCAGGTCTAATTTTTAGGTTCAAACTCAACTGACTCACTAAAAGGTCGGGCTCAATGGGTTTTTTCTCGAGCTAAACGAGCCGAGCTTGGATTGATCTAGGAAATTGATGTATACTAAAATATGCCTTCCCCCACTACTAAGCAAGTCCCAAATTCGTGCATTGGACTGAGCTTTTATCTAATTCCTGCCTTAGGGTGAGAAAATCGTTTCGTTTAGTACGAGATCGCTTCACACCTCGCGGTGCTTACACCTCTCGCCTATCTATTCAAAGTGGGATTGCTAAGCAAGCTTAGCTTGTACCTTCCTTTGAAGAGTAACAACACGATGTGATTATCGCTTCGATCGGAAGCCTCCCCAAGCGATGAACGTACAGGAAAACCTTTTTTGGATTTGCCTCAGATCTTTAGAATTCATTTATGTCTTTGGAATTCATTTATTTCTTTTAGGAGTAGTTAGGGGTGTGCAACAAATTCGAAATCAGTAAATTAGAAGTTTGAAGTTGGAGTTTTTCGAAATTTTGGCATTAGAATTACCGATCGAATTCGATTTCGAATTCATCAGTTCCGATTTTGAATTTAATTCCAAATCTAATTCAGAATTTGGTAAATTCTGATTTCAATACCGTTCCTTCTTACCTTTACTAAAATTAGAATCTAAATAGTTGGCCTCCTAGTTTCGCCCCTAGTAGTTCGATTAAGGGCACGGGGGATGTCTTGCGGATGTATGTGGCTTATATCATTTTCGATTAAGAGCCTTTTTCCCATCAACATGGATGAATGGTCAGCATTTGTCCGTAAGTTAGCATCAAGTTACGGACCATCATGTTGCTATTTTCCTTTCCTTAATAAAATATATCGCCAAAAGCACTATAATTTAGAAGTGACTATCTCATATTGTGTTTTCCCATCAACTCCGAGAAATATTTAATTTTTTAAAAAGCTTCACAACAAATCATGCGCAGAAGGAAGGATTGAACAGTAAAATCAATAACTTTGTTTGAATAGAGATTATCTGTCCAATTTATTTAATTACATCATTAATATATTTTGAATTATTTTTTGTTTTATATATATTATATCAAAAAAATATTATTTTTTTTATTTCACACATATCACATCAAAAAAATACTATAATAAATTTTTCACGTCAAAATGGCCTTTTCTGTAGAAATGCTTTTCTTACTCGCTACCAGACAGGTGATTCAGCTCATTTGCAAACCCAACCCACACAATCATGCAACAAGCTGCTTCTGCTACTATGATCGGTAGACAAGAAATATTAGTACTACAACCAAAAGATCTACAACTCCTAGTCTTTTCTTCTTTTTTTTTTTTAAATCTTAAACTTATCATATTGAGTTTTTATGTTACCACTAACTGTTTGAACCACTATAAACCTGAATGAACAATGAAAGAATGGTCACGAAAGGTTATCAATTTATGTTGTGGGGGCCACTATTGAACAGTTGTATCAGTATTTTATTCGAAACATAATAAAATGTCACTTAAGGGCGGCTCGTCATGGAAACCTTTATGGTAAGAAGCCTTTGACCCTTCCTACTATAGGCAACTCCTTAGAGTATGATACGTGTATTTGTAAAATGAGGAGCTCACGAACCGTTATGTTGCAGTGGTAACGCGCGTGGAGATAAACCAAACAAGACATGTCAGGATGCAGTCTTTTTTCCCCTCTAATTCCTCTGTTCACTGTGCATTGTTTCCCCACTGCTTTATTACATTTAAAAAATTGTGAAACTATAATTTTCTGCACCTAATATACAAAACAATTTAATAAAATAAATAACAACATACCAACAATATATACCCATGACATAAATATACTAAGCAATTATGAGCTGCCTATGGTAGGAAGGGTCAAAGGCTTCCTACCATAAAGGTTTCCGACTCGGTCATTACAGCATGCATGATCCAGTCATGGCTTTCAAACTAGTAACAGCAACCTTAGCCTATTTTCTAGTTCACACCGCAACTGGTGCAGCAGCTTCTATAGATGTTCGGTTCATCTTTCAAGGATTTCAATCATCAAATCTAAGCCTGGATAGATTAGCCAAAGTCACCGACAATGGCCTCCTACGATTGACCAACACCACTGAAGAGGTGGTTTTTGGTTAGACTAGCAGTACCAAACTTGCTGGAGTAGCCTCCTGAGATGAGTACGGCTCCTTAGAAGTCACCTGCTCAAATTATCTCAAATTATCAGAGGTGGAGTAAAATCCCCTATTTACCTCCAATGATCTAGTTAGTCTAGATTAAGATGGAAGTTTAGAGGAATTTTTAGAGAAGTAAATTCCCAAAAAGAGGGACTTTTTAAACTAACTTCCCAAAGAGTGGCGATTTTTTAGTCTCTTCCCAAAGGATGAAAAACGCATCCAAGAAATGCGTTTTTCAAATAAAAACGTAATCTTCAAATACGTTATTTTAATTTTCATAAATTTATTTAAATAGGAAAAATTGGTTAAATAATGCATTAGTGGAATGCGTTTTTTGATACACTAGCAAACGCATTTCGGCAATGCGCTATTGTTTAAGAAATGCATTAGATAAATACGTTTTTCATTTATCAATATGTAGAGTAAATTCCCAAAAGAGGGACTTTTTAAACTAACTTCCCAAAGGGTGGCGATTTTTTAGTCTCTTCCCAAAGGATGAAAAACGCATCCAAGAAATGCGCTTTTTCAAATAAAAACGTAATCTTCAAATACGTTATTTTAATTTTCATAAATTTTTTTAAATAGGAAAAATTGGTTAAATAATGCATTATTGGAATGCGTTTTTTGATACACCAGCAAATGCATTTCGGCAATGCGCTATTGTTTAAGAAATGCATTAGATGAATGCGTTTTTCGTTTATCAATATGTACCATTTTTTTTCATTTCTTTGATCTTGACTTGGGTTATGTAAGGTTTTTTTTTTAAAAAAAATATTATCTTATTATTTTATCGAAGTTATTATTAATTTAGCTCACTAACACAAGTCAAGATCCAAAAAATTTGTTATTTCATAGTTTTTATTAATTTATCTGGTATAGATTTCATTTCAAGTTTGCAAAAGGCTTAAAGGTTTTTGAACTTTGGATTTTACATATGCATGCACATATTTTATATCTTAAATGTTGGTAATTTGTCTTAAAAACCGTAACACTTTTTCTAAAGAAAATTTTACGATTCATAAAAAGTTAATCCTAAATGTTTAGTGTAAAAATATGGTGGCCAAAAATGAGTTAGAATAATCACATATCTTGAAAATTTTAATCAAAGGGAAAATTGCGGAACTCCTCTGAGGTTGCTGACACTAGCACTCACCTATTTGTAAATAAAATTAAAAATGCGTTACACAAATATTTTTACAAAAGGGAAGCTAGTAGCTTTTGTATTTAATATAAATTAAGTATTTGAAAGTGAAAAAAAAATTACCCACAACATACCAGTTCTTTACTGGTTTCTTCCATTATATGAATAAAGTACTAGCTATTTATAAGCATTTCACTCTGAATCATTTAATTTATGTTAAATTTATAAATATTTAAAAGTAAAATTCAAAAAGTGTTACACTAATATTATTACGAAAGGGAAACTAGTAGGTTTAATATTTAATAAAAATTAAATACGTGAAAGTAAAAAAAGAAATTACCCACTTTTTACCAGCTCTTTACGGGTTTCTTTTATTACATGAATAAAGTACTAGCTATGGGGGTAGGCATTTTACTATGAATCATATAATTTATGTTAAATATATAAATGTTTGTAAGTAAAATTTAAAAAGTGCTATATTAACATTTTTACGAAAGGAAAACTAGTAGGTTTTGTATTTAACATAAATTAAATATGTGAAAGTAAAAAAAAAAGAAATTGCCCATAACATACCAGCTCTTTTGAGGTTTCCTCTATTGCATGAACAAAGTACTAGCTATTTATGAGTATTTTATTCTGAATCATTTAAATTATCTTAAATATACAAATGGTTATAAGTAAAATTCAAAAAGTGTTACTCATATTTTTACGAAAGGGAAACTAATAGGTACTGTATTTAACATAAATTAATTATATGAAAGTGACACTCACAAGTAATTTAATTATTTAATTAGTTACTTAATTTGTTGACAAGAAACAAGTTTCTTTTGCAAAATTTATTCATTAAGTTTCTTCAAATAATTAGAGTATAAAGGTAAATTTTCACATTCTTTTATTCGCAATAGGCCCCAATTTCCTTCTAGGGGAGGGTAGTGCTATTTCTTAAATCATAAAAGAGGTGAGTGCTAGTTTTAGATACCTTAGGGAAGGTTTTTGCAATTATCCCTAATCCAAATATTGAGGTGAATATACATTGAAATATAGATGTTGGATGAAGGTACAAAGTGATATAAGAAGTTAAAATATAATTATGTAAAACCTGTATATGTCAATAAAAAGGCTTCGTATCTAAGCAAAAGTGTTTTCAATTGTATTATGGAAAAGTAATTTGATTTTTTTAGTAATATAATCGTTTGTGGATTAAACCACATTTAATAAACATAAATAAATGGACAGAATTTTCCCTAATTTTCAACTATTTATATCACCTGTTAAGCAAACACTTGCATATTCAAATATGTCATAAGGCGATATAATGTTACATCTAATTTCATATATATGTGAACCATAGTATTTGGGTACTCAGCTGCTAAAGAAAATATCATATCCATTCCCTCTTCGTTTATTATTAGTAATGGGCAGAATTTGAAACCCTATGGCCCATGATCAGAATATTTGCAAATGAGCTTCAAATCTACAGTTAATTTATCCACTCCAATATATGAGTGTATATTACTTAGTAAGTCTCCAAATCTTATCCTGTGGTTGATCGTAACTACCTTGCCAATTGGACCGATAAATCCCAATTCAGGATAATATTGGATATGACCATCCCAATATAAAGCAAGCTTCAATGGATGTTGAAGATCCATTAAAACATATGCTAACAAGCCTTCAAATGCAATGTAAACTGCAGTCAATTCATCTCGAATGATGAAAAATACTATAAATAAAAAGTATATTTTAAAACCAGTCATATCTTGTAAGTGTAGGTAACTCCTAAACTTCTAGGCTGCCCGCAGGTATTACGTTCTATACTGTAAAAGAATCTTTCAAAAATAAAAGTCTATAGCAATCTCTGATTTCTTTTCATTTTGACATGACCATACATGAATTTAGATTAATATCTATAGATCCAGCATTCATATTCGCCAACAACCAGTAAAGAATAAGAAAAGATTTCAAGAACCACCTAGCAATAACTGAAAAAGAGTAGACATACATGTATCTAAAGTCTTGAATGTCATATGCTGTTACATTTTGTATCTAAAGTCTTGCATGTATCTAAGTCTTGAAAATTTAATAAAGGCACACAGGAATGCACACAACACATGCAATATGTATTGCATTGCATCGTAGTAGCAGTAGTATTTTGCTAGGTATGATTTTGGTGGGTGACTTAGAAGGCAAGTTGTTGGACTGATTAAGAAAATCCCCTGCTCCTCTTCTAACTTTTGCAAATATTGTCCACCTTAATATGGATATATATATATGTATAACTTTCCAAATATTTTTCAATTTAATATGGAACTATATTTTAAAACTTTAGATTTTGAATTCGCTTAAAGTGCTTATGCTATGTGCCTGAATACTTCAACATATTCTTTTTTTTAAAAAAAATATCCCCATGTTTTAGAATAATTTACCAAGCAATTAATTGTATGATCATGGATTACATCATCCCCCAACTTCATTGCTAGTTACTACATTCAATTTGTATATATCCACTGGTTAGGAAAGAAATAAATGATAATAATTTTATATATTTGGATTAAAGTAAAGGGGTCGGGAAAGCAATGATAGGGAAAAGGATTGCGATGGGATTGCTAATAAAGGAATAATTAATGCATTTTAATGCATTTAAGTTAAACAAAAAAGAAAAGGAAACCACTGTATATATCCACCGGTTAGCAAATGAATAATTAATGCATTTAAGTTAAACAAAAAGGCAAAGGAAATGCACTGCAAAAAAAGCAGCAGGATTGTGGTAAATATGGGCAGAGAAAGCGGTTGCAGAAAAATTTCGCTGAGAAGCTGCGGCTTCTCTAATTGCTGCTCATGCTTTTGTAAGTCCTCTTTCCAGAATCTCTTGCTTTGTCAAATACTCTTGCCCTTTGCACGGTATCTTCCTCTGTCAATAAGCACCAAAGAATCATCTCAGATTTGCTTTTTTTCTTTTAAAATAATTAAATGCATCCATTTCATAAACCCTAAATTCGAAATTGTAAGTATTACCTGACAATATGCCTAATTAGCCCACCAGTCTCCCAATCACCACTCTTGCTCTTACGTTGGCTGCGAATGTGGTATAAGATGTACGAAAAAATTGAATGGGTGGTGTGTTTTGTTTGGCCCTTGAAGAAGTTAGGGTAGAAAGAGATTAAGAGGGATTGAGGAGAAATAGTTCTTAGTACCGGGGACTGGAATAGACTCCTAGATATGCTAAAAACTCATTTGCTGCTCATTTAGCAAATGAGTTTATTTATTAATAAACGCATTTCCGAAATGGGTTTTTAGGCCAAAAAATGCATTCGTTAAATGAGACTTTTTAAAATAGCGCATTCCACTAATGCGTTATTTAAACAATTTTTTCTATTTAAATAAATTTATGAAAATTAAAATAACGTATCTGAAGATTACGTTTTTATTTGAAAAACGCATTTCTTGGATGCATTTTTCATCCTTTGGGAAGAGATTCAAAAATCACCACCCTTTGGGAAGTTAGATTAAAAAGTCCCTCTTTTTGGAAATTTACTCGTTTTTAGAAAGTAGTTCTTACTGAGTATTTTTCTCGTGTCCCCCTTTGTGAGTGAGGTCTTTATATTTATAGGGGACAATTGGAAAAGACAATTGGGAAAGAATGACGGTTGGGTTCAACTTCCTAAGATCTGACAGGCTGAGCATGTCAATCTGTCTTGATGGGTCTGTCAGGGACAGGTCTTATCAGGCGTCTTGTCTCTCTGAAGGTGTCAGTCTGCGATAACACTTCGGCCGTCCCATTGAGCACAATGGAGCCTTGTTGTGCTCACCACGGTATCCGAAGTGTTCGAGATGGATAGTGTAAGCTCAAGTTGCGGCTCACCTCAGTATGACGAGGTCGAGGTGAGAATGGGCAGAGCATTATTATTATCAAGAGAGCAGCCCGGCTGAACCAGGCCGAGCTGAGATCATCACCCTCAACTACCAAGTCACAAAGTGGCCATTCCTACTATCCAAATACTATCAACTTCAAGAGCACATCTAATAGTTCAGTTCAGCTTTCTCCTTTTCCACCCAATTTGTATTTGCTATAGTACCCGATGTCCCTGGACTGATGGGTTCCGGATTGGCTTTCATGATTGCATTTGCACCAACAAGAAACCATAAAGGGGGGGCCTATGTCACAGCTCAATATTATGGAAACTCTCGGCCTCTTTGATAGATGCACCAACGGAAGTCAGAATAATCACGCTTTTGCTGTGGAGCTTGACACTTTCAAGAACCAAGATTATGGTTATATCGATGCCAACCATGTTGGTATTGATATAAACTCTGCGAGGTCCAAGGCATCTAGGCCAGCAAGTTACCAAGCTAATAACAAGAATTCATTTGACAACTTAACTCTTGCCAGCGGCCAACCAATGCAATTATGGGTGGAATACGATGGGGCGGATAGGAGAATCGATGTTTACATTAGCTCCAGTAGCGGCTGCCAAGCCATATACACCTCTTCTGTCTTTGACATATGACCTGTCGCCAATTTTACAGGAAACCATGTATGTTGGCTTTTCTGCAGCCACTAGCCCACTCGAAAGAGGACATCTCATTTTATTCTTGGATGGAGCTTTAGGATGAATGGGGTTGCGCAAGTTCTTGATCTCTCTCGGCTCCCCGAGCTACCTCGGTCTGGACATAAGGAAGTGTCTAAATTTTTCACCGTGTTCACCGTGGGGTTGCCCCTGATTTTCTTACTTTTGTGGTTAATACTAATACCTGGAGTCGAAGTTTGCTGAGTGCTGGAAGAATGGGAGCTTGCTTACGGACCTCACAGGTTCAACTATAAAGATTTGTACATTGCCACCAAGGGATTTACAGAAAAACAGCTGTTGAGGTTCTACAGAAGGCAGATTTGGTAGGGTCTACAAAGGCGTTTTGCCAACAAACAAGGTTGAGGTTGCTGTCAAGAAGGTCTCTCATCACGCAAGCCAGGGAATGAGAGAATTTGTTGCAGAAATCGTCAGTATTGGATGCTTGAGCCATAGAAATTTAGTGCCGCTCCTGGGTTATTGTCGGCGTAAAGAATAGTTACTTTTGGTATATGAATTCATGTCCAAGGGTAGTCTAGACAGTTTTCTGTTCAACCCACCAAAGCGTACCCTCAACTGGAGCGAAAGATTTCGAGTCATCAGACGTGTGACTTCAGGATTACTCTATCTACACGAAGAATGGGAGCAAGTTGTGATCCACCGAGATGTAAAAGCCGGTAAGGTATTGTTACATGATGAACTGAATGGAAGATTAGAAGATTTCGGCCTGGCAAGGCTATACGATCATGGAACTCTACCTCAAACCACCCATGTAGCGGTATCTCTTAGCTACCTTGCCCTTGAGTATAGTAGGACAGGGAAGGCCACAACGAGCACTGATGTATATGCTTTTGGAGCCTTTTTGCTAGAGGTTGCCTGTGGAAGGAGGCCAATAGAACCCCGAGCAGAGCCAGAAAAGAATATCATTTTGCTAGATTAGTTATTTTCGTGCTGGAAAGCAGGAAATATTCTCCAGGCTGTTGATCAAAAGTTGGGCACTGAGTATGTGAAAGAGGAAGTAGAATTGGTGTTGAAATTAGGCTTATTGTGCTCTCATTCGCATCCAAAGATTAGGCCAAGTATGAGGCAAGTTTTGTTGTGTCTGGATGGATCAGTTGCTCTGCCAGATTTATCTCCACTGGCCATGGGCATTTCCGCTTTCGGTCTTGGCTCCGCCCATCCTGCTGGCTTTGAAGATATTCCATCGTCATTTACTGCTTTTACGGACCAATATTTCTTACATTCTGTAGCAGACTCTATTCTCTCTGGTGGTCGGTAATTAAGATGCTTATCTTTTTGATGTTGTAAATTTAGAAAAGAAGAAAAATAAGAAGAAAAGTGCTTCTACCGTTGTGATTATCTTGTTGAGTGAATTTTCTGAAGCCCCTAGAACCCCTTTTACTCTATATTAGTGTGGTTTTATGAACTAGCACTACAAAAAAAAAAGATTTCTAGTGACAACAATATTTGTCAGGAAAATATACGTATTTTGTCAGGAAAAGTTTTCGTGACACCAATGTCGTCAGAGAAGATTAGTCACCTATACGCCGTCGGCAAAAGGTTTTCCTGACAACTATTGGAATTGTCGTCAAGAAAGGTGTTATTTTCTGTGACGCATCATTAGGAAAGGTAATCGTGATGATTTCATCGTCAGGGAAAGACCTCATATTCTTGACGATCCTTTGTCGGGAAAGACCCTGAACTTTGTCACTAAATTTTTGATTGTCAAGAAAAGTCCTACATTGAAACTTGTGGGGAAACTTTAATGACAATGCAATATCATTTTTCCTGACGACAGCTGCATCACTATAATATATTAATTTCTAATTTGACCATTCAGCCTTTTTAAGCCCAGCAATTTTAGTGACAACAATGACCGTATCTTTTTTTTGAATAATAATTTTTTATTTTATTTTTAAAAAAATTTTAGCAGAGCTTCCCCTTACAAATGGACAAAATCTCCCTGCCAACAAGCCCAATTTCAAGAAAAATTAAAACTCCTGACTAAACCATCGCATATCATCTATTTAGACACTCCATCCAATCAAAATATAAAAGTATGCAAGCAAAATATCAACCAAAACTTCACAAATTATCATTAGTAGGCAACCATAATATGTCAAACCACAAAAGTTAACTATGTCAAACATTTACATATCATCACATTCCATGATTTGAAACCAATATAAACATTGCTATTTCTCCCTAGATAACTGCCATATACCTAACATATGCTAAAACCAAAAGATGGACTTTAATTCCATGGTCAACAAAATACTAGAGATCGATGATATCAAAATAGAAGAGTTCTTCAGTATGAGCCAAAAGCAATCCACAAGTTCACCCCAAACCTGTACAATAAAACCAAGAAAAATCTGAAATCAGAGAAATAATAGAATGGTATGCAAAAGATGTATTTTTGTTATGATGCATGGATGATCACTACAAATTGCTTAGGGACCACCTAATAATGAGTACAAGCAATGCATTAACTTGTACCAGAATAATTACTATGCTGCAAGTAACCAATAATACACCACGAAATACAAATCATAACATAAATTGTTCCACATCTATTTGCTACTACCTAACTACATCTATTTGCTACTACCTAACTACATTACAGCAATACATGATTTATCCAATAAGCCTACAACTAAAGATTAGCATTTCATGATATTGGGTTAGCCAAGAATTAGACCTAAGCATTCTCCACCAGGTCAAGTTGATGGGGCGCAATATCTGTTCAAGCAGATGAAAGCAAAAGGCCATTTCTCACTCAGCTTTCAACCTTGAGTTAAATGAATGAATTAGCAGCCTCCACTTGGCACGACTGCGATCAAGTCCCACAGTCTTCTTGGAGAAACATGTTAGGTGTCAATCCAATATTTGCAACTAAACTACTCAATCAATACACACTTTCCTCATGAAACTAAACTTCTTGAAGTGCTAGATTTAACTCGTGTGCCGACTTGGCAATTGAACCACCTCTTCTGGAAAACCCCAAAACAAATAAGCAACAAAGAAATCATCATGTGCGTACATTGAGAACAGCAATTTAGGGAGAGAACAATCACCTGCAAAGTACAGGCAAGCAACGCTTAACCTTTTCAAGCTCAACAAAGCATGTATTGCAGCGTTCCAACCTTTTGCACCAACCCAACAAGAGTCTCAGAATTAGGAGACTTCAGATAATACGGATAATAAGAGATGTTTTGAGATATTGAATCACACCTTTGCTCTGCCTCAATATCCACTCCTACGGATGAAGGTGCTGATATAGAAGAATATATTACTGACCCAAATACTCTGACCAGCTTCAGAAGCATCTCCAATGAGATATTTTGATGCCTGCAGAATAATATGTATCACATGCCAAGAGAACAGAATAAGTAATCAGCTGGAAACAATTCACATTTACAGGCATGTCAAACCAATAAAGGCATCCATTCAAACAGTTCATGGAAAACCTTTATACAGCAAATTACCTTTTGTTGTAAGAAAAATCTGTGCAATTAGATCTGAGCAAGATAGATAAATATCACCATGTGAAAAGTTTAACTCAAAAGAGTTTTCTATTTATCCGGCACCACGTAAAAATTCAATTAACTGTTTCTATATTACATTGTCACAACGTAAGAAGTTCATTAATAAAACCTGCCTTCTCAAAGTCCAGGGCAAGCCAGTTAAATAGATCTTGTACCTCAGTTTCTTTCATAGCTACCCATCTAACAAAAAGGAAATTTAACACAGAAGTTTCTATTGCCATTTCTCAGCTAGCAAAAGTTTAGATTAAAGCTCACAGCGTGCAAAAGTTGGCAAATGGAAAGTGGGCTGGTAAGAAAAAGATATTAATGGAACAGAAATGATAACTTTTAACTAACATGCACCTATACAAAGAGATGTCAAGGCCAAATCATCATTATTTTTTTTCAATTTACTTTATTATGAAATCACGAGACTGACTTCACTGTACTGTTAGCAAACAGCTTAGATCTATTCCAGATATGTATCATAGATCCAACAAAATTCAAATTGGGCTGGTACGAGAAAGATACTAAAGGAACAAAAATGATAATTTTTAACTAAAAACACACCTATATGAAGAAATATCCAGGTAGAATCATCTTTTTCTCAATTTAAATAACTAAAAAACAGTGTGACTGGCTTCACTGTTATTTTAGCAACCAGCTTAGATGTATGTCAAATGTCTTGTAAATCCAACAAAATTCCAATTTGTAATAGGCTTAGACTATAAAAGAAGCCAGAGACTGCTGCTTAAACATCTTTACCTGTCCATCTCACTTTCAAGAGCATTTACAGGGCAAATGAGAAGAACTATGACACATCAACATAATGCCAAGAATTATGACAGCAGAAATTTGTCCTGTAAACCCTGCCATTCCACCTTTAATCTGGAAATGGAAGAACAATAGAATCTGAAGTCGCACATCCAGTATAGATAATCACAGTAGCAACTAGCATCGCTGTCATAATTCTCACATCTCAACTCTGTTAGTAAGCTGAATTCAAGCAATGAGATTTAGGCCGTGGTAAGTCACTAACATGCTCCATTTTTTATTGCAACACTGGGATTTCTCCACCACCAAATTATCCTGGGCCATCTTCATTTTTTTCTATATGGGTGATGCATAGGAAAAAGTGTCAGTAGTGTTCGAAGACTATCCTTGCAGTAAGTAGCAAGGATGCAACCACTGAGAACACATTGCTGGTTTCCCCATAGCCAGTCTTAAAATTTCTTTCAGTGTTCCATGCTGACCTGAAATTTATCTATTATCTTCACCCAAAACAAAATACAACTACCTCATATAAAAGCCACTCAAATGTAGTTCAAACTATGTAGACATACGTATAAAAAAGACTGGACAATAGTACACCCATTTTGACTAACCAAGTCGAAATTTCCTCTTTTTTTGGCCATG